GGATATCTCAATTTTAAACATGGGAAGTTGTGTGATTACCTATGTTTTGTACAGTGACGCCTGTGACCAAATCACACAGAATGCGCCCAATCTAGTCAAGATCTTTAAAGCTAAGCAGGGTTGTTTCTGGATAGTGCTTGGATGGGTAACCACCATGTGTAAGACAGGTGTCAGCCGCCCCTGGGATACTTCGTGGTCAGCAGAGGGCAGGGCAGCAAAATCCATTGCTCTGTAGATGTATGCTCCCGTGTCTATGCTCCCCCTCTTCATCAACTCACACTGGCCAACATGGTGATGTATGGTCAAATAATCCTCACGACATGCACTCACGAGTGGGGAGGCTCTCACCCAACAGTATGTTGCCTAAAGAGCTGTACATGTATGGTCATGTGCGGTGGGGACATGTCTTTACGTGCTTGTTTCTTGATTCCCAAATTGCCTGAGCAGAAGCCACTCAGGGTGTCAGTGCTACGAGGCGGCAGCTTGGTCACCTTGACCCTGACCCCGCAGCGTTGGAGTGGACGAGGCCTGCTGGGGTGAGTTCGACAGTATAACCCATTGACTGACTGGGGAAGACCTTCATCCAGCAGTTGAGAAATCATGACTTGTATATGAAGACCAATGCAGATATTTAATTTGAATTTACCACCTAAGTGGAAAAAAAACCTTGTCATGTTTATTTTCCAGAGGACTATAACCATGGATGATAATAATTGTGATAACTAATGTGGATGTAATGCTTTTTCTTCTACACAATTCAATTAATGGCCATGATTCTCCTTAATGGTTGGAACATTTACTCTGCCTATTGACTAATGTGCAAAGTCAAGCACAATCAATAAGAGACATTTTAATAACATACTCTATATTTACTCTTTGGTTATTTTGGTAAAGTCACGTAGAAAGAACAAATAAATTAAATAACAGCATACGACGTTTCAATTGCAACACAAGCAATCATCATCAGGCACAAATGAAAGAGAAAACAACCTAGTAAACTTAGAAATGTCATGCAGAGTCGGCTAACATAACAGTCAACACCCTACCTGGTTGGCCTATGTGTGTGTCTCTCTCTGTGTTACCTCTCTCTGCTTGTGTGTCTGTCTGTGTGTCTCCGTGTCTGTGTTTTGTCTCTCAAATTTAGCATTCTTTGGAAGAAGGTAATCAACCAGGTAGGGTGTTGACTCTTCTTTGGTTCTTTCGGTAAAGTCACGTAGAATGAGAATAAAATAATAAAATAAAACAATTAAATTCTCACGACGTTTCGGACACAACACAAGTAGCCGTTGTGTTGTGGCCGAAACGTCGTGAGAATTTAATTTTATTATTTTATTCTCATTCTACGTGACTTTACCGAAAGAACCAAAGAAGATGAATCCTTGCAGTCACGAAAGCTTTAAATCGAAATTTAGGGTGTTGACTTATGTTAGCCGACTCTGTGTTGTATTGCATTATATTTTTAAGTTTACTAGGTTTGTTTTCTCTCTCATTTGTACCTGATGATGATTGCTTGTGTTGCAATCGAAACGTCGTATGCCTTTATTTTTCTTTCTACGTGACTTTACCTAAAGAACCAAAGAGCAATTCCTGCAGTCACGAACGCTCCAAATCAAGTTTGATACTCTATATTTGTTTAATACATTTATTTGTATTGCTTGTTTTGTTTTAATACATTGTGATGTGTTAAAAGTATTGTGTTGTGTTTGAAATACAGAGTCGAATTTTGCTAATGAGACTTAAAAACTTTCTTTATCAAGTGTCGAGGCGGTGGAACTGAACTTGTGGCCAAGGGCTGCTGGACACCCGTGAAATAGAGCTTAATAGATCATCAGATGCCACCAATATAAACAAAAAATCTGATTTTGAAGGTCTGGAGGGGCTCAAGGGCCGGAGGGGCCTGGGTACCAGGCCATGGAGAGAGTGGAAATTGAACAAGAGACGTAATTTCATTCCTTGAACCAGGGTCCATGGCAACCTCGCTACTTCTTGTTAGTTTCTCATTCCGCTTGTCCTGGTGAGGGTTTGCGGCGGCAGCATGTTCAGTAGGGCGGTCCAGACCTCCCTTTCCCTGGCGACAGACTCTAGCTCTACCTGGGGAATTTCCATGCGTTCCCAGGCCAGACAAGCGACATAGTCCTGCCAGCGGGTCTTGGACCGGCCCCGATAATGTAAAAGAGTAAATTCCCAAACATTACACACTTAATTCAGTGTGAGGACAAGACATAATACGTGGGTATTTACATTAAATGCATGCAAACTTATAATAAACGCAATACTTTGATATGTTTGTTGATTTTAATAAGAATGTTAACACGTGTTTTTCATTTTTTATTTCACAGCTGCAACATTCTTCCCATGGCACGGTGATAATTTTAACATTTTTTTTGCTGCAGGATGGAATATATGCACAAATATGGGATTGCTTTTTTCCAAGGACTAACAAAAAGTTCTGTAATGTATTGAAATAGTTTCAAGTGTGGTAGCAATTATTTACTATGTGCATATAACTTCAACACGGACGTGTCTCGTGCTCTTTACAGTGTGGAAATATTGTCTAATAAATGCTTCAATTACTTTAATCTGTGCTGATTTGTAAACTTATTTGCTCATGTGTGGTTTTTAGTGGTGGTACTGACCGATGGTGGCCCCAAAAAATAAACTATTTTTGGATACCTTCCTTTCAATGTATAAACCCCGAGGGAAATTACAGAAGAAATCGACAAGAGATATTTCGCGAGATGAGAGAAATGCGAACAAATGCAAGAGGTATAATTATATGAAAGAAGGTGCAGATGAGACAAGCCGAGTGAAATTATAGATGTAGACAAGAAATGGATGTAGTGAGATGAGAGAAGAGATTCAAGATAGATGAGAGCGAGGAATTGGTTTATGTATTCATTGGCTTGCTCTAATTAGGATTAAGTTGTACATTTGAATCTGGGACCACTTGAGTTGCCTAGTGCCACCACTAAATGGGTTTTCTCCAGACTCCCAAAACCACCTGGGCTTTGAAGTGGCCACGAGATGGTGGTACAATAGGTGGGTTCATTAAACTACCAGATGTTCTCGCCAATGGCCCTATTAAGATATGGATCCTAGCTGGAGGCAACACTGTCGTCCCTAACACTCCTGGTGACAATGCCGACACAAGCCATCCCACGCACCTACACCGTCAAGTAACCGAGAGGACTCGGAAAGTACTCATTGTGCTAAAGAGTATGGTAGTCATGTATATAGTACTCAAGTGTATTGCGTCCATGAACTGATAACCAGTGTCAAAATGCGTGTTACATTCTGCTCAGTTGGACTCGTATAATACTCATTGTTACTCGGAGTGCAAGTGACAGACCACGTGTTGCATCCAGCGCATCCGCACCATCTACCCAGTTAAACATGCACGTTGAGCCAACGTTGGGTCAACAGTTCCAACCACGTGCCAACGTTGGCATTCTTACTGGATAGGTAACTAAGAGAACTCGTATAATAGAGTACTCATAGCACGTGGACTAACCAGATGCAGCAGCTAACACGTGTTAGTTGCATCTCGCTATTGAATGTGTTTATATTAAATCATACATGTCAACCCATACGGTTCACCCCGTATTCTTGTACAAGGAAATTTATTTTTTCAGGTCCATACGGGCCGTCCATAAATGGCGAATGACGTCACGCGATTTTGGACGATTTTTAACCTCCCCCCCCCCCCTTCGTCACACGACGTCACAAAAAGTCAGACCCCCCCCTCAAATATGACGTCACAAAGCTCTGCCCCCCCCCCCAAAAAAACATGCTCAAATCGCTTTAATATATTGTCATTGTAGTGCGTATTTAATGTGGCGCTGCACTCTGATGTTGTAGGAGAAAACATTTAAAAAGTCTATTTAATTAAGTAGAACATGTTTTGATTTAAAGCTTTCGTGACTGCAGGGATTCATATTCTTGGTTCTTTCGGTAAAGTCACGTAGAAGGGAAACAATAAAATAATAAAAATATAAAACAATTAAATTCTCACGACGTTTCGACTGCAACACAAGCAATCATCATCAGGTGTGAAAACCACAACAAGAAAATTTGAAAAAAGTGGCGGTTATTTTTAACGTTAGCACCACGGAGAGCGATTTGACAGTTTGTTCAGATGGACGAGTCCATCTATGTTCGGAAAAGAGGAGGGGGGAGTCGAAAAATAATGGATGCGGTCTGAATGCCACCTTAAGCGTGAACAATTAATTAAGACCCGAAATGGTCCTCGGCGCAACGTCCGGGGTGATTACCTGTCAACCCATGCGGATTACCCACATTCTTGAGTAAGGAAATTTAAATTTTGATTTAAAGCTTTCGTGACTGCAGGGATTCATATTCTTGGTTCTTTCGGTAAAGTCACGTAGAAGGGAAACAAAAAAATAATTAAAAAAAATATTATTTTATTTTTTCCCTTCTACGTGACTTTACCGAAAGAACCAAGAATATAGAACATGTCTATATTTAAAGTTGCGCATTTTGATGTGACGTCACATTTCTCAAACCCCCCCCCACCCCTCGTCACACATCGTCACAAATGTCTGACCCCCCCCCCCATAGGTGCGTGACGTCATTTATGGACGGCCCCATACGGCGTACAGCCGCTTCAATACGGGGAGGGAATGTCTGTGTTTTTCCCTTGTGATGTTTTATTTTTTAGGATGAACGTTGAGATGCATCAGGGCATGGGGTGACCAACACGTTCTGAATTGGTCTGTAATAAGGCAGGGCACCGACAGGGGGTTGACAGGTATGGTTTATACTCTCTGGTTCTTTCGGTAAAATCACGTGGATAGAAAAAAATAATAAAATAAAACACGACGTTTCGGTCGCAACGCAAGCGTCCGTCTTCAGGTGAGAGAAAATGATCTGCTGTTGTGGCTTTATATAGGCACGGGAAGGTGGTGGGGGGGAGGGAGTTCACAGGGGAGAGGGGGGAGGGGTTCGTGGCGTGCATGGACGGGTGGGTGGGTGAGGTACGTGGCGATACAGCACGAGACCCTAGCGTGGGAACTTCTCGTCGGGTTTTACGAAACGCGATTTGAGTGGCGGCCACCGTACCGCCGCGGGTCCCCCCGCGATGTCACTGTGTGGTGTGGGGGTCAGAGGGCGGACGCACGCGCTCGGGCTGCTGCTGTGTCGGGGGCGGCAGCCGGGGCGACTACGCGCAGCGTGGGGAGGGCGGGGGCTGGCTGCTACAGCACCACAAACTACAACTCCGCGCAAAACTTTAAAGCGTTTAACGTCACCTTCGACGCACGCACTGAACGCCGTCGGCGGCTCCCGCGCCCGAGGATGCGGCGACGCGTGACGAGTGGGCCGAGGTCGGCGCTTCGAGACGAGGCAGCGGCGGCGGCCGCATCTCCTCCGCCTGCGTCGCCGTGACCTTGGTGAGCGCGCGCGCGGCTCAGCCTCGCGGGTGAGCGGTGGGATATTGAAACCGAAACGCCGAGCCTGGCCCCTTGCTGATCTCTTCACTCGACGCGGGCTGTTGCTGACCCGTCCGGAGCTGTACCTGGCCAGCCCCGCGCTTTACCTTGCCCGACCAGCGCTTTACTTGGCCCCGACCTGGCCCTTACCTGAGCCGACCGACCAAGGCTGTACCTGACCCGTCCGTAACTGTACCTGACCCGTCCTTAGCTGTACCTGACCTGTCCCGGACTTTACCTGACCCGACCTTAGCTGTACCTGACCCGACCTTAGCTGTACCTGACCCGTCCTTAACTGTACCTGACCCGTCCCGGACTTTACCTGACCCGTCCTTAACTGTACCTGACCTGTCCCGGACTTTACCTGACCTTACCTTAGCTGTACCTGACCCGACCCGGACTTTACTTGACCCGACCTTAGCTGTACCTGACCCGTCCTTAACTGTACCTGACCCGTCCTTATCTGTACCTGACCCGACCTTAGCTGTACCTGACCCTACCTTAGCTGTACCTGACCCGTCCTTAGTTGTACTTGACCCGTCCTTAGCTGTACCTGACCCGACCTTAGCTGTACCTGACCCTACCTTAGCTGTACCTGACCCGATCAAGGCTGTACCTGACCCGTCCCGGACTTTACCTGACCCGACCTTAGCTGTACCTGACCCGTCCTTAGCTGTACCTGACCCGACCTTAACTGTACCTGACCCGACCTTAACTGTACCTGACCCGTCCCGGACTTTACCTGACCCGACCTTAGCTGTACCTGACCCGTCCTTAGCTGTACCTGACCCGACCTTAACTGTACCTGACCCGACCTTAGCTGTACCTGACCCGACCTTAACTGTACCTGACCCGACCTTAACTGTACCTGACCCGTCCCGGACTTTACCTGACCCGACCTTAGCTGTACCTGACCCGTCCTTAGCTGTACCTGACCTGTCCCGGACTTTACCTGACCCTACCTTAGCTGTACCTGACCCGTCCCGGACTTTACCTGACCCGACCTTAACTGTACCTGACTCGACCTTAGCTGTACCTGACCCGACCAAGGCTGTACCTGACCCGTCCCGAACTTTACCTGACCCGACCTTAGCTGTACCTGACCCGACCTTAACTGTACCTGACCCGACCTTAACTGTACCTGACCCGTCCCGGACTTTACCTGACCCGACCTTAGCTGTACCTGACCCGACCTTAACTGTACCTGACCCGTCCTTAGCTGTACCTGACCCAACCCGGGCTTTACCTGACCCGACCCGATCTGGGCTTTAGCTGACCCGACCTGTATTGTACCTGACCCGACTCGGACTTTACCTGACCCGACCCAGGCTGTACCTGACCCGACCTGTCATTTACCTAACCTGTGCTTTACCTGACCTGCGGTTTACCTAACTTGTCCTAGACTTTACCTAACCCCGGCTTTACCTGACCACGTTAGAATATTAACCGACCCGTAACCGGTTTCATAAACACTTTTAAGGCACATTTTGCTTCACACTGATTATATTGTAATAAATATTACAGCCTCTTGTCAATCCCATGGTAAATGAAGACCTACCCTGTGCCATTTCGGTGTGATTGACCATACTTGGTCAATCATACTTCACCACGCTGGTCAGTGCGGGCTGGGGAATTGGACGGGGGATGACATTGGGATGACGCAGCCGACATGACCGGTTCGGATATCACTTGCCACTGATGTTAGCCTTGGTCAGGAATCGAACTTGGGGAGGGACGGGTGCATACCGTGGTGCACTGACAACTGTGTGACCGCTCGATCATTTACACCGATTTAGCCTGGGAAATTTTCACGATAGTGTTTTTACACAAACGACCAGCTAGATTTTACTCGACCTAGCCTTGCCCTTTAACCTAATCAACCCGGGTCTTTTTCCCCGTCCTCGCTCAGGTCTTCACCCTACTCAGCCAAGGCTCCAAGCCAGCATGGCGTCGCTCGGGAGCCGGCAACTCCTCCTGACTCTTGCTGTGGCTACCAGGCATCGGATGCCACCCTCCTCGGTCATTCGTGTCTGGGCGTCCACGGCGACAAGCGGCCGCAATATTGACAGGGAAGTTGGAATTGACGGGCTCGGTGGTCCTAGTCTATACTCGTGTGCCAAGCATCGTCTTCACTCAAAAGCAGCTCCTCCTTGTAACTCCCGGACACTCAGGAACTCGGCTACTCGGGTGCCCGTTGTGGTGCCGAGGAACTGCTCGATATCCCTGTCCAGGAGCTACTCGCTGAGCAGCAGGAGCGCCACGTCGGAGCTAGACGCGGTGCAGCAGGTCCTGTCCGCCTCGGACCATGTGTGGAGGGAGGAAATGGACGAAGCCGATTGCTACGACCCCCAGGTGGACCCGCGCCGTTTCCAGCGCGTGTCCGACGACTACGCGGAGCTGTGCTGCTGCGCCGAAGACGTGGGGTCGACTCCGGTGTCGCTGGACGAGGCGCAGGCTGTGCTGGCTGAGCTGCTGTGCAGGCGGGAGCACGCCCACGCCCACGAGCTGCTCGTCTGCCTGCAGGCCGTCGGCGGCGTAGAGGCCTGGTACCGCCGGACCCTGCACAGGGACAGCCGCTTCAAAGTTCTCCTCGGCCTAGTGTCGAGCAAGGTGGGCAACATGAACGGCCGGGAGCTGGTGAGCACCCTGACGGTGCTCTGCCGCACCGGACTGAGCCCCACGCACCCCCTGTACGCCAAGTGCGAGGCGGAGCTGTGCCGCCGTGCCGACGACATGAGCTTGGAGCAGCTGCTGCTGGTGGCCGACGTTTGGAGGCTGATCGGCTACCGCGCACCTCGCTTCCTGGAGCTTCTGTTCGCACGCGCGATGCGGGACTGGGCCGGGCTGAGCCGGCCCTGCACGGTGCAGCTGCTGTACATCGTGGGCGAGAATCGCGGCGCGCCGGATGGCCTCGTGAGCAAGCTGGAACAGCTGGTGGTGCGGCACGTCAGCGAGATGACTGCCGAGGAGGTAGGCGCCAGCTGCCTCGCGTTCTTCAAGTCACGCCACAAGGTGTTGGCGCAGACGATGCAGCAGATCGGCGACAAGGTGACGACCGACATGCGCAGCATCAGCAACTTCGGCCTCATCGGGGTGCTCAAGCTGTTCCGGCTCACGCACTTCGACCACGTGCCCTTCCTCCGGCGCCTGTGCACTGTGGTGCCGACACGCTTGCCCGACCTTGGGGTACAGGGCGTGATGCACGTGGCGCTCGCCTGCGCCGCGCTGCACTACCTGGATGAGCCGCTGATGCGTGCCTTGGCGGCGCAGGTGAAGAAGCGCTCCAGCTTCGGCCGGAGCAAGGACCTCGCCAAGCTCCTGTGGGCATTCGGGTCGCTGGCGTGCGAGCTGCCAGGCGCCACTGAGGACATGTATGCTGCGCTGGTGCAGCTGCTACGAGAGCGCAGCGCGCAGTTTGAGCGCTACCCCCGGCACATGGTGACGGCGCTGCTGGCGCTCGCGTTCACCGGCCGCTTCCCCCAGGACCTCTTGAACGAAGTGCTGAGCCCGCGCTACAGCAACCTCCTTGAGCAGAGGACCAAGGAGGAAATGAGGGCAGACCTCTACACGTTGGACGCATCGGTCGGCCTGGAGTGCCCGGGCTACGCCGGGAACCGACTGGACAGAGTCACGCGGCAGGAGATGTGGCACATGATGCAGAACAAGCTGACGATGGCGGCACTGACGAGGCCGGAGGTGAGCAAGGCGCTTGAGGCGCTGGCCGTGGTGCTGGGCGGGAGCCAGTTGGCTCAAGCTCACGCGGTGCTCCCGCACTCGCGATCCTATGACATTGAGGTTCACTTCGACGAGAGGGGGCGGCCCGTGCCCTTCGTTGCCGAAGACGTCGATGGCGAGCATTTGATGGCCATTGCTGGGAACCAGCATGAGCCGCCTCAGCGGTTTGAAACGCAGCCAAAGCAGGTGGAAATCGCAGACGAGCTCATCTCAAAGTTGTTCAGGGGAAAGAGTGCGGGTGCCTCTCGCGGCGATCCAAATGTTCGCTCCCAAAAGAGCCCACTGGTCGAGTCCCTGACCAGAGCGGCTGGCCGGGTGCCCCTAACGGCCAGCCTCGTGCAGGCGCTGACCAACAGGGAGCTGCCGGAAAGTGGAAGGTCCCCCGATAGTGTCTGTGTGAATGAGCGTGCTACTTCACAATATCATCAGCAGCAGGGCCCTGTGAGAAAGGTGGCCATGCAAGTGACGAACCACAACAACTACCTGTACCGCATGCAGAGGCACACGGGGCTGCAAGCCATGAAGCGACGACAGCTGCTACTGAGCGGCTACACGGTGGTAGAGATCCCCTACTGGGACTGGATGCCAATGCTCAATGAGCCCTTGAAGAATCGAGTGGCCTACATTGAGAGGAAACTTAATTTTTGTAGAGTGGAGTGACAGGTGTGTGAGGAGACATGAGAGGAGAAACTCGTGCCAAACAGAGATGTCGGCGACCAGCCAGAAATTAAGTCCATGGGCATGTGGATAACATCTTCCAAGGGTCTTTAAGACAGCAGTACTGAATAGCAGGTTCCCAGACATTGCTGTGCACAAGCTTGGATTATTCCTTTGTATACATGGGTTCTCTCTGTATACGTCAGTTTTCTCCCACATTCCAAAAAAATGTTGGTGAAGCTTTCCTGAATAAATTACCCTCTTTTTTTCAGGCCTTTGTCAATCCACTGCTGGATGAAGGCCTCCTCGTGCCTTGTCGGTCACGGGAATTGTTTCACCATACTTCATACTGGTTTGTGCGGGTTGGTGAAGGGTGTGGAGAAGGATGCAGGATCGTTTTACATATTGCTTGCCACTGATGTTAGCCGTGGCTGGGAATCTACCTCAGGTCATGGAGTTCATAGTTCATTCCACCAACCATGGCACCACTGTTCCTCAGAATAACACTATGTATTAAAATACTACTGTCCATCCAGTGTTAATCTGTCATCACTGACCGATCAGAACACTCGTATTGGTCCATCATCACTGATCAGAACGCTCTATGGTGTTGATGCATCCTCACGAAAGGCAATGTAACCTGCGTTGTACACCCTTCGATTTGCCATATTATTTCCCGCCAATGCTGGACCAGACGGCGAGCTCAACTTGGGGAACGTGGGGCAGGTGGTGGGAATGACACGTTAAGTGGGAAATGCATTGTATTGATTGAGTGGCTGCTTATGTGAAATGGGAAACATAAAGATTTTATTTGAACCTCCTTTGGTATTGATCTGTCAGCAATGGTTGTGTGGTGCATGGTGAGTATTGTTAGTCTGGTGAGTGAGTGGTATGAGGTTGGTGGTGAGTGGTCAGTCATACAAGGTGATTGGTGAGTTTCTAGTGAGTGGACAATGTCAGGCGAATGATGTGATGAATGGTATCAGATGAGTCCTATAAAGTGGCTGGTGAGGCTCAGGTGAGTATGAGTGATATCAAGTGACTGATATTAGGTGAGTTACATCACCATATTTGTGGGATGGAGCATCTAGTGATGGGAACAAAACATTGAATGTTTACATAATTGGCTGTATTACACAAGCCCAAATTACGTCGTGATGTGATCAGATCTAGTTATTTTATAATATGCTTTGTAATTTCAAAAATGCCACTCAGTATGACTTCCCCAAACAGCTGGAGGCACTTTAATATCTGTTGAGCACCTATTGGTACCTTAAAAGTTCATAGCTCCAGTGGCTTCCTGATATCGGAAGGAAGAGCCTTCCATAATAGAGGTTTTTTTTTGGGTTAGATCGCGTACCTTCCCGTAAACCACTACACTGCAACTTCTTCAACAAAGGAATAGCAAACCTCTTCGAACCTTTTGCTGAAGCCCTGTCGTCGTGGTTAGTAGACCTCAAAATCAAGAATATATCCATTGTCATTGCTTAGACTACATTAATCCCTCCCCCTCATTGGTCTTTGCACCTGATTGACTCACACGTGATGACATCACATTTATCCCTCTCCACAAATTCTGGGTTTACTCTCCAATGCACCGGTGTGCTGAACTTGTAACCAATTGGCATGTTTTGTTTACATGACAAACCTTACTAATTATCTGTGGCGGGTTTAACGACACAGTTATATTTACATGATCTCACCCAAAAAAAAATCCATTATGGTTAATATTAGGTCGCGAAAGCCTATGTGTTAAGCCTTCGTGTTAAATTGTCAGCTCGTGAACATCATTGACACACACAAAAGTGGAATAGAATCATCTGCCAAAGTTCCTTCCCGCACTCCTTTGCAAAGCGTACCCTTTGCATGCCCACCACTCCACGGAAAGAACTGCATCTTTGTGCAACCCAGCATTGTTGAGGCACGTTCACACCGCGGCTGAAATGCAACAAATTTACAGCCGTCCACCACGGCCGACGTGGATGCACGGGAGGGTAAAACATGAAATTCCAATAAGCCTGTGTCGCATATAAGAAGGTGTTTTAGCAGAATGTGATTCAGTTATCGAAGTTGTCGGTCATCGAGGCGGTAATTGTAAGTACAGTACTGTATAGGCAATATATCGTCATCAAACCTGTTTATAAACATACATTCTTGGACATGACTTTGCTCATTACCAAACTACAGCCGTCTTTAGGGTCTAAAATCATTCCCTGTAGTACATTTCTGGCAGAGGTTAGATAGTACCCGGACCCAAGGGATGAGGTTGTTCACGCGTGAATATGTATGCAATGGTTGTTGTGACCAATACATAACAGTATGCAGAAATGTAATTCGAAAACTGAAACGAAAGGTATAATCACCGCCTAAATACCTGTTTGTATACAACATTTATCGTATACACTCCATCTGTGGTGCCACAGCCGCGGAGCGCCGCGACTCCCCCCTGCCCCCCACCCTGAGCACACGCACACACGCAGCACACACGTGTGGTGTCCCGACGGGGGATCGCCTGGCACAACGGGTTTTCATCCGAAGGGCCCCTAGGTGGGAAGTCCCGCGGTTTCCCGGTGTCGGGAGATTGGCCAACCCTCCCAGGACAAATCACATTGCGGCACCCCTAAATTGGCTTAAAATTGTATGGGCACGCAAAGGTTCACCGACCCAGCCGCAATGAGTCACGCACGACATCGGGAAGGGGGGCTGGGGTGAAATATTAAGCAAGCAGAGCAGACAATGAGGTTAGGGGATCCCAACGCCACACTGGTAGGGTGTGTATTCACCAGCCGGATTAACCTTCCAGATAGAACAGGCTGAGTCAGGAATTAATGAGTTCGGGTACAGAGACAATGGGTCGAAAAATTACGTAACGCGCCATGTAAGGGCAGAGAAGCGGTTGAAAATCACAGGTAGGCGCACGATTGGCTGCGCCGAATGACGTAGCTCTGGATTTCAAAAGGCAAGGCATAAACAGGGGAGCGAAAAACGGTTCAAAAAGATCTGATCTTGGTCGCCAAGACCCCCCTGCCATCCTGCCTCGAGCCGCTCGCAGCATCCGTGTGATGCCAGCGAGTGCTGCTACGAGGCAGTGATAGGCAAAGTTTTTTTCGTCCTCCTCCCTCCAACTCTCACAGCGCCCGTGCGACGCCGTGAGCACAGCTGCGAGGTACGTGATAAGGCGTGTGAGTGTTTGGGGACTTGGGTAGCAGTAGGCTAGGCTCTGCTCGCAGAATATTCCCTCCGGGCAGTGCAGGGTTTGCGCCGTGAATAAACGTTAGCACAGAGCATCGGTGCAGTGTTTGTGATGTGTGCAGAGTGGCTGCGTGGGCGGACGCGCGGCGAGAGTGAGGCCAGAACCGTAGCACGAGCGCTCGTTGATATAATCGCCTGCAGGTGCGCGCGCGTTCGCGCAGCTGCTTTAGCGTTAGCGGTGGTGTGTGCACGCGGTAGGGTGTAATCGCCTGCAGATGCGCGCGCGTGCTCGCTGCCAGGGGAGCATTAGGGGTGGTGTGTGAGTGAGTGAGGGCTAACTCTGTACGGTGGTAAGTCAGTAGTTCAGCCATGTCTCTCTGAGAGGACGCTAGCGCGGGAGGGGCGATCACTCGATCCGCGGGGGCCCGGCGGGAGCTGAGCGATGCGGTGGAGGGAGTGGAGGTGGTGAACGTAGCGCCCCACCTGCCCAGCGAGGGCGGTGGGCGGACGTCAGCCCCCACACATCCTCTTCTGAACAAATCGGGTCTTCAAATCAATACGGTGGCATTTGATCTTGACGTAATTCTTGACAATGCCATGTATAATTGTCCGTGAGAAAAAGCTGGCTGCAGCAAATACAATCCCAAATGATGAACTGACTGCCCTTGCGCTTTGTTAATGGTCATTGTAACTCCTCGTCGGCCACCTCTCGCCGGCTCCCTGCAGATCGGGTCATCGGCCCCCCTGCGCCAGCACCCTCCCTGAGGGTCATAGCTAAGTGGCTGGCTCACCACCGCCCGGGGTTATCTCGCACACGCCCACATACACCACCACTAATATGAAGGCGGCTGCGTGCACGCGCGCACCCCTGCAAGCGCTCGTTTTACACAAAGGCTAGCGCTAAAGAAAACAGCAGTATGAATATGCACGCGCACCTCCGGGTGGCTAAGCCCTAATCCGCCACACACAGGCTAGCGCTAAAGGGCTGCGCAAATTTGTGCGCGCCTCCGGGTGGTTAAACCCTTAGCCGCTTGATCACAAAGGCTAATGCTAAAGAGTTGCGCGAATTTGCGCGCGCACCTCGCCGTCAATACTATTGTTGCGCGTGTTCACGCACCCTAATGCGGCGTACCGCGGCACGACTGCACCCACGCCTGCAGCGATCTCCTCTCAGCACGCACGCACACGCTACAGCTCAACGCTCACTCTCCCGCATACACCGTCCCCCCGTACAGTCGCACCACATGCAAATCACAGACGCCACGCCGATGTTCTACCCACACACACAGAAATCGCACTGTGCCGATACTCTGAACTAAAGTTTATTAACGGCGCAAATACACTACCTGGAGGGGGAATATTCCGCAAGAAGGGCTTAGCCTAACTCTCCCTACGAACCCAGTCACTCGAACGTCCTACCACGTATCTCGTAGCTGTACCCACGGCGTCACATGGACGCTGTGAGAGTCGGAGGGAGAAGGACGAGCGAAAACTTCAGCTATCACTGCCTCGCAGCAGCACTCGCTGGCATCACACGGATGCTGTGAGCGGCTCGAAGAGGCAGGTTGGTAGGGAGTGGGTCTTGACGGCCCGGAGGTTGAAGACAACTGACCAAAGTCGTCCCGGGCTACTCCCTTTATATCCTTACTTCAAAGGCCCAGGGTGGTATCGTACCGCGCGGCCAATCATGCGCCCACCCGCGCTGCCGTCCCTCTCCCTGTGACCGGCGGGCGGCGGCCGCCACCCATTGTCCTTTTGTCTTGCGCCCTTCTTGCTCAGGGTTCCGTCTTCTGTTCTCTACCCTGAGTTGTACCTCATTGCGGTTGGCCCAGGAAACCGTGGGACTTTCCCTCTAGGGGCCCTTCGGATTAAAACCCGATGTGCCAGGCCATCCCCAGCCAGGACACTACGTGGGTGCGCTGCGTGTGGGTGTGTGTTTAGTGCAGGGGCCGGGAGGGAATCGCGGCGCTTGCGGAGTTGCTCCACGGTTGTGGCACCACACAGTCTTCGTCGGAGCTGGAACGGAAGACTGGATTCGTTGCTGATGCGAGGAATGAAAATTATTTTCCCATGAAGGGAGCCAGTCGTAATCATCGCATCAATGCAATTCTGAGTCTCGTTCCATTGCAGAGGCCTCCTTCTCAATTGATATTTCGAATCAACATGACTGGCGCTCACACTTTAAAACATAGCTTGTGAGGGGGGATTCCGGTGAGTGTCAACGTGCTCAAAAACTCTTGAGTTTTAAGCGACTGCCGAACATCTTATCTATCCTCCATATCAGTTGAGATGCACTGCTGAATTTCTCCCGGCAGACTCATCACCTTTTCGTTAATGGTGTAAATGTCAGTGTTGACAGGAGATCGAATAGCACAACTGGAGAAGTAGTTTTCAACTTGGTTTTGATCACAAACATTACCATACATGTGTTGAATAAGTGCTGCCATACCACTCATTCGTTCTGCTCTTCGTTGTAGTATGGGATGTGTTTGGGTTATGTCTTTACCTTCCTTGTACTTGCACTACCTATCATGAATTTTGTACTGTTTGTTGCTGTAACGCTCTTACCCATTTCTACTGGACATCCGTGAAAAAGAGCTTTATAGCTCATCGGATTCCTCCAGTATAAATATTCAGATTCTGAAATGTGAATCCAATGAGGCCAAATTAACGTCTTTAATAATAAATCGCGTTGCCGCCAACTGCTTTGATCCAAATTGCTCACCGTAGCTTTTGGGCTTTTTGGAATGTACCACTCACTGACCGGGGGAAACGATACCAACAATTTTGCAATCACTTATCCTATAAAACATAAAAAACAAAGACACAGCATTATAAAAATTACTCTCTTGTACAATGATTAACAAATAATACTTGAAATAGGGTTAAGTTTTATCTGTAAAATTGCGAAATAATGGGATCAAATCCCCCTGTGGTTTGTAATGGTTTCTCTCTCCGTGAGTTTTCGCCACAGGATTCGCGGATAAATTATTTTAGTCAATTAAAATTAAACGTTTAAATATATTTAATTTTGTAATAACATTTAAAAACATTTAAAATATTAAAACACGTCGCAAAGAAACAGCGTTACATTTTGGGGGCGAGTACCGTGTGACACACGCGAAACTACTTTTATAGGTAAGATAGAGAGCACTTTAAGCTAAAGGTTCTTGAGTGTGGTTTAAAGAGCGGTAAAAAAAACTGATTCAGATGGCAACAAAACAGCAGTTCTTCAATAATATTGTGGCCTTAAAAGTGAAGTATATAATTAAGGCATTGACCCATCTTCATAGCACGTGCCATATTTTACATTTGAAGGCCACAGTGTTATTGACGTACGTATTTAGTAATCACTGCCAACACAGCTGCAGCATCACCAACATAATTTGTTCAATTGATTTTAGCTACATTTATTTGTTCAACTAAGTTTTAACTCAAGTGACCAAGGGATAACCACAAGTTAAAAGGAGTATTTTTTCCAGAATAAAAAAAACGTGCATCATACTATGAAAAATGTTTGCCTCCTCGTGTTTCCTGCCCGGGCCTCCTGTCTACCCCAACACCGTTGTTAATGCATTGCTTCATGCGATTGCCACCAAACAGCAGAAGTTTGGAAGACCGATACAAATTATAACAAAGAGGTGGGAGTAACAAATACAGAAATTGAACACAGTCCATTTAAAATGTTTTTTTTCCAGAATGTATAAACTCCAAGAGGTTAAATAATATATAAACCTTCACAATAAATATACCTTTCCATTTTAATACATAGAGCATGCTTTAGATATTGCTACTATAAATTTCCACATGATGAGCCACTTTAAGCCACCATTTGTTGCCAGGTTGCATCTGAAAACGAGCTATACAGGGGGCCTTTTACCTGCTAAAATATCTGCCACATCTACGCTTCCATGTAAGGAACGAAACAGGAGGACTTCTCCACAGATCTGGCTGTCGCCTGATGAAGCTAGTGGTAATTACTGGCGAAACGTCGTACTCAAGATTGTAAACGTTGTGCGTTGTGGATTTTTTCTCCAGCACACCGGTGTGCTGTACTCGTAACGAATTGGCATGTTCTGTTTACGTGATAACCCTTACTAGTTTTATTCATTTGAAACTATCTACGTGACTTTACCGAAAGACCCAACGAATATGAACCCTTACTAGTTAGCTGTGTAGGGTGTTGGCGGGTTTTAACGACACATTTACGCGATCTAACCCAAAAAAAACCTCTTAAGGAAGATTACAGCCGCCTCTTATTTTCAATCCTAAATATATATTTTGGCACGGCACATCTTACCCCGCGATCTGGACATCTGTGAAAACTGCTGGGATTTTCTGCGGGGGGAAGAGCTTTACAGCTCATCGGATTCCTCCAGCACGACTAAAACAAATTCTCGTTCATGGCCACCGAACACCCCCCCCCCCCCCAGGCAAGATGGCGCTCCTCTTTACACACCTTCGCATTTCGTCTCCCCACGTGACCACGCTTATCGTATCCCTGGCCTCCGGGCTAGTCACGTGCCCCAGGATCCCCCCCCCCAATCACCCAATTCTTGCCCACCCCCCCGGTGCCCCTACCCCCCCGGTGCCCCCCGCCCCTCTCTTTAACATCCGGGTCACCGCGAGCGGCGTCGCCATTTTGAAGGAACTCGTCGGGCCCCCAAACCCACCCCCACCCGCGTCCCCGTTCAGTGGCTCGGCGCTCGCTCGTTGCCGCGACGACACCACAGCGAGAGTCCTCGGCGCTTTGACTCTGAATGGGTGAGCAGACGCGGCCCTTCGCCGCTTCCCCGCTGCTCCCCGGCGTCCCATCATCGCCACCTCACCTACCGCTACCCCCCCCCTTCGTCAACGCCGCCCAAGGGCGGGGTAGCGAAGATTCTGAGCGCCGCTTTTAGAATTCCTAGCGCGCTTGCGCGAGGGCTCGCTCCGGGTTGGCCGTCGGCGGTCACGCGGGCGGCGTCTCGGCCAACGGGGCGCCGCGTAGCCACAGCGCAACGCTTAAGCGCGCGATGGTTTACAAAGCCGGGCCGCGGCTGACATTTTCGTTGGCGTGAAAAGGGGGAAAAAAAAGCGATTGCCGTTCTGGATTTTTTTTGTTTGCCGCGCGTTTAAAGTCGGTAAGTTTTTTTTGTGTTAATCGTTACGATAATTAGGTGGCACTAGTTAAACGACGGTGATTCCTCTGGCGTATAATTAAGGGGGGTCTGTTGTGCGAACGAGAGGCGGAGGAAGGGGGGAGCCGCGTGGTGTTGGTGGTGACTTGGGGAGGAAGCCGGTATCGCCCCGTGCCTCCCTCGTTATATAATCGTCATTGTTCTACTATATCTTAATACAATGGTAACATTTAAACAGAAAGTGTCCACGGAGTGCGGTGATACCGGTGGATGTTCATCATCCGCAGCCCGTGGTCTATCCACTGCTGGATGATGATGATGATGGCCTATCCGGAGTCGACGCCATCTCTCGCGATCCTTGGGGTGTGACAATCCGCAGTGCTCAAGAGGGATTATTTCACCGCTCCATCTCCACGATGGTGGTTACCCAGTTGATTTCGTGGCACCAGTTAGTGTCGTGGATGGCAGTAACATAGTTTCGATATCCGTCCGTCGTTCCGTCTTAATGAAATGTCCCACCCAACAAGCAAACTTTACGTAACGGTGGTAAGGCGTTCGGTGGCCAGTGTCATATATGTGTGGCTATACACTCGTGGATGTTTTAAACAAAATGTAGAGTGTAATTTCGGCGTATTGGGGAAGCCTTCATCCAGCAGTGGATTGATGTCACGTTATTTATTTTACATAATATTGTCTGTCGTGAGCAGTTACTAAAATATACCAACCACTTGCTTAAAATGGTTTCCGTAATCTTAATTGACGATAGACTAAGTTACTTTGTCGTTACATAATAATAATGTAATGTACAGTATTGTAAATAATGAACGTCATTTATTGTGTATCATTAATTTAGTCATGCAATGTATTTTTTATTGTATTGCAGTTTACAATATGGTCCAGCAGTATAGGCAATCCACGCAAACCAATAAATAACACTTAAACCTCCGCACAGATGGCTACTAGAATCCCCTGGCAATGTTCCAAATCAGTGGGTTTTAACGAATACACGTGATCTGCCAGCCATTGTCTCAGTGTAGTGTGTATCCAAAAATATTTGGATCTGTTAGATTTGCCTTACACTTAATAACGTTAATCTAGGCTGCAATTATATTTCAGTTATGTATGTGTACGATATATCAAGAATGTCCAATGGAACACGGAGGCGCACGCATGGAATTACATTTGGGAAAAAGGGGAGCATAAGGGTTAGAACATACGCAGGCTAAATATAGAATTTTAACTGTGAATAAAAGTGGTCTTGGGTATGACATGATCGCTTGAAGGGATGATGGATAAGGGTGTCAAAGACAGGAACATGTTGGACAGGACCACCTCCGCCAATGTGCAGCTATGGGATCGGTTCACTTGAGACGGAGTGTGTGGGAATGACGACTGCACGGGCAGCTGGCCTTCATCCAGCAGTGGATAGACATTGACAGCTGAATGTAATCCTCGGCAGGGCCACCACCTCGGCTTTATTGTTTACCCGCCCAGTCGTGTGGGAGGTATGGAGGGCCATTTGCTATTTTGGAGAGAAGGGATAGTTTAGGCCTGCGATGAATAGGCGAAGCGGCAGTGCCTTTACGTAATGGTGCGTTACACGTGTTAAGCCGCTGCCAATGTTAAAGGAGTAGAACGTGTATTCACTCACAAACTGTGTCCTCTGGGCGTAGTAAGTATCGACTTGGTACTGGAATTTCCACCAACTGCCTCGGGCGAGATGAGTGTTGCACAATGCTTGCTTTCAAGCACTTGAATGTGCCGAACATTTGCCGAATGTATGATTAATTGTTATCTGTTGGGGTGTGATGGATAGTGAGTGGTCTGGGGCGTAATGTGGCCGAGTGATATTGCTTCCAGAGCAATGTTTTTTATCTGGCTCGTGAAGAAGTGGCTGAGCTGTTGGTGGCGTGTAAGGCTTATTTACGTGGTTTGTGTAAACTGGCTGTTGTGAGCTCTTTTAAGAGGGCTTGTAAGAACATTTCATAATCGCAGATTAGGAATAGCTTGTTTAAGTATATTTAAATGAGATCGAGTTGCTTTTATGTTCTCTTGGATAACCCTAGGTCCATATCGTGCAATAATTAACCATATGATTGCAGTCTTTGCTTTATGCTCACAATACGTGCATCACTTGTTCTCCTATACATACATTATTTTCTATTCACGTATGTTACGTTTTGTGGTTCGTGCAAACCTTGCAGTTTTAGATGTACCTCAAGATAAAGCAGAATTGATTTTGAAACTCAATTATGACCCCCGAATCGTGATAAATCGGGTGTCGGTTGTAAAAATGCCTCGTAGTTACTCAAACTCAGGATCAGCACACTGTTCCGTTTAACAATAATATTCAAATGTTAGATCACAAATGGCTCAGTGCCGCTGACAGAATGTCACTAATAACACTGTAACAAAAAAAATGTTCCTGGGTAGTAAGTTTTATTTCCGAATTGCTTATGCACCAAAAGTACAGAAAATGGTTATTATTCCCCAAAAACTTTGCTTTTGTGACCAGGACAGTGATATTTTGAAATGTACATATTTTCAATGAGAAAACGTGGTGTGCATTTGTCTCATTCCTTCACATAAAGCCCTGGTCACAAAAGCAAAGTTTGTGGGGAATAATATCAATTTTCTATAATTTTTAGGCATAAGCAATAAAAAATATATGACACCTATTACCCAGGGACAAAAATCGTGTTACATGGTGTAATTCCGCAGACGGCGCACTTTGGCAAGTCGGCTTCATGCAGACATTATCTGGTGCACCGTGTACGGGAATCGAACCTGTTTGACACCCGTGTTAATCGGCTCAGCGCTGACCTCCCATGCCAACGCTGTTGAGCTTTCAAAACGCTCGACAGAGGTCGTTGAAACTGAAAATAACTCTGCACCAAAATCACTCCCGTTTCCCGTATCTGAGGATGCGATGCTTTTCCAGTAACATTTTTAATTAAGTCGATAATGCATACCGGGTGCGTATTGTACACTCTTTTTAAACTATTAATATTGTTGCCGCTTGCGTTAATGCACTCCGCAGTCTAAGAACATTCCGTACCGACGTTGCCTTATCGTTTGCTCTGATAGAACCCTTGAGGGAATAAAATGTCGCTTGGTAATACTCACAATGTGGTACTAAAGGGATAATACGGACTTGGCAAGCGGACACTGGCTTTTGTGGCCTTTATGTTGTCATGCGCAACATCGTAACGCTGCAGTGACGTCCACTGTATTTATGTTCAAATATTTAGGGGTGATGGCACTCTGGACGTCTCTCGAGTGCCATGACGCACCTGGTAGTCACTTAAAACTAGTTTTTTTATTTCCAAAGTTTCAAACTCGTGTCTTGGGCAACTTGGGACAACGCAGCATATGAGATGTTTGTCGTTCTTGTTGAGTCCTACTTGGAGAGGGGGAGAACACAAACGTTTTACAATTTTGATAAGGCCATAATCAGTTTAATGCCTTTGATCCATCCATTTGGCGCAGTGATTGCACTATGCAAAGACACCGCCATACAAAGGCCTCATACGGTGCTGTCTACAGCTACGATAATGTTAACGGTGGTTGTTAATTTGTAATTACTTCTGGCCAGAGTAATGTGGAATCTCCAGAAATGGCTCAGGCTTGTATAAATATTCACCCCTTACCCATTTAAGTAACCTTGACTGTTCCTCTTGAGTCTCATTTATAACCAGTCCAACAGTCTCATAATACCGCATTGGGCTGTTGGGCTCATTTTAGTCCTCTCAGATCATTATTTGAATATATGTTTTGTGTTATTTACATTTATTTATCGCAATCTTTTGCAGCCACGCAGTGCACATGTGTAAGGAAACCTAGTTGCATCCTGCTATAATTCAAATCTCTAGTGCGTGTCGTTTTTCGCGATAGCAATGAATGGGAGATTTTGCCACAGTTTCTGCCACAGTGGTTTTGCTGCACAACAAAACGATGAACACAAATACATAAATGCTACAGCTAATTAAGACAAAGAAAATAAATGCATTTTTAAATCGAATGGGTTTAAGAAATGTGTTACAGCTGAAAGTGTCCCAAGTCACACCAGAGCAGGTTTAGAAGTATTTGATTCAGTGTTAATGCCCTAAGGTTCTGACAGCCAACTAAAGCAACTTATGATCTAAGATCCTTGTGGACAGAGAAATGTCCCCATGCTGTTTTTATACCGACTGGCTTGTTTATGATTAAAATCTCTCAAATCTGAGATCCTTTAAGGAAGACAACTCCTCCAGTATATGGTAGCCATTGGTAGATACATACCTAGACTGTGGCCTTGGCTACCCAAAACAGGTCTGAAGATTAGTTAATGATTACCAAAACGAGCGTATTCACATACATCCCATAGAGTTATAAAGTCACTTGCAGCGACGCTCCAGAGCATTTGAATAAATCGATGAAGGGAATGCTGTTCTGGACTCATTTTAGTCGTCTTTCTTTAACAGAGCTTTTAACTGGTGTTGAATAGCCCCGGGGAGGAGAGCCTACATTTTTCCTACAAAATGACAGCTATTTGTTTTTGGGTTGCAAATTCCTTTAAAGATAGCAGCTGTACACGTGACATGCACGCACAGCAATTGCCACAGTGGTTGAACCAACTGCGTTCCTGATGCTGTTGTGATAAACCGCTATCAGCTAAACAGCATGCTTCCAAAGGCTTCCCCTCTGATGGTCACCATTGAGAGATGCCTTGAAGGACCCGCGTTGACAACAGGGTCGGTGATATCCCAAACGGGTCCCCCAAATCAAACGGTGCCACGGCTGGATGCTAAACTTCAAAGGCAAAAGCGTAGTGATGTGAAGCTATGAGTGCGTTACAAAATCTGCTTCGCTTATCTGCGCCTCTGCAGGGCTTGAAGTCCTGCCAGAAAGTGGGGCGTTGTGGCCCTATCGGCTGCAAACCATCACGACCATTTCATTTACGCCAGTGTTGCTTTCCTCATAAATACGTATATATGTACATAGGTATACATTGATATATACTG